TAAAATCATGCAGCCACAGCAACCACCGTGTGGCAGGAACGCAAGCCCGGAGACAAATGTAAAATCATGCGGCCCGGTCATGCACCCCTTTCAAAGGAGTAAGAACCCCTCACAGGTAAACCTGTTTGGGGAACAGGAGCTTGAGCAGTGTCCTTTCATCAAGCGGTAAATTGTAGCTTCGTGAAAGCCATTCCATTCTCCTCAACATGTCCAGCAGCCTCCAATGTCATACTTCTTCTGACCCTCTCATATTGACTCTGACAGATTTCCCATGATTTCCCCCACCAGCTGCAAACAAGCAGACTGACAAAACCCACTCTCGTCGCTCATGGCCTCCAAGTCGAGGCGTTCCACCTCTGTATCTTGAAGCTCGATGTCGCCATGAGCTTTGGGCACCCTGACTTGGACGACTTGGCAACTGCCCATCATTCCGCTTATCACACCGACCCATTTTGTGCCCGACTTGCCAAGAAAGTATGTCAAACACGATGAAAGAAAGAACAGCTAGCCAAAGCCCGGACTTTCTTCAAAATCTTTGGGTTTTGAACCACAACCTATATACAGTAATAGCAATGGCCTCCAACCTAGTAGCGATGGCCTCCAACCTGATAGCAATGGCCTCCAACCTAATAGCGACGGCCTCCAACCTAATAGCAATGGCCTCCAACCTAATAGCAATGGCCTCCAACCTAATAGCATCCAAATTCTTGAAGCCCCAATTTCACAAGTCAGATTTCCCAGCCGTCACAGGGTAACGCCCTCCCAGGTCTCTCCTTAAACGGATTGTCATGTTCCGCGGTTGCGAGCTCCAAAACCGCAGCTTCACCTTGATCTTCCCGGTCAGCTTGTCATGCCTCCAAGGTCAACATAGCAGTCCAAATGGTTGAAACAGTTGAGTTAATGTTGCTTTCGTAGTGACAAGCAAACTGCTGAACACAAAGAAACATTTTTCTTCTCGGCGAGAATCTCTTGCAGTGCTTCTTGATCCCAACTGCAGGTAAGCCCTTGCATCTCAGCTTCATTGGCTAAGGAGTCCGTCAAGGCCTCAGGCAGCGATCTTGTTTGGCAGCTCTGTTTTAAACTTGGTGTCACAAACCAAATTAAGCCATGGTTTCTCCCTGTCAGGCGGTGGAACAAGAATAGCAGGGTCAGAGGCACAGTACAACACTTCTAGAGTTGCTACAAACGCGTGTTGTGACAGGTATGTCGTTGCTTGGCAGCCCTAGTTGCTTGACACAGATCTTCTAGTCTTGGAAAGACTCTAGTCACCTGGTCTCTACAAACTCTCCAGTCTGCCTGCTTTTGTACAATGGTAGCGCTCAATAAGAAGGATCTGGTCCTTCGTCTTCTACCTCTCACTCCCTCACTCCCACCACCACTCACTGTCGTCCAAACCACCAACGACTGCTCCCAGCCTCAAAGAGGGTCGTTGCAGCATATCGGCTCACTTCAACACGGATGTAGAGCATCCGGCGGCACAGGCGGATCAGAATGCTCCACAAGCTTCTCAGAGCCTCTGTTTGCGCAATGAAATGTAATGACCTACAACATGGGTGGTCCCACAATATCACAAGTCCATCCTGCATTAAGTCCAAGTGTCTGGTGAGACCTACCTTTTCATAGACCTTCCATCCACTAAGCCTCCCCGACTCCCCACCCATGCTCAAGGTATCCTGAGACCAAGAATGCCAAGGTGCTGTGATGATGTAGAAGCCAAAGCCCAAAACTAGCCACCCTCGTTGCTCAGGGCGGGTGATCCACCTCTGCGCATTGCTTTGCCCCGGCAAATCACCAACTCATCCCGTCATAACCCTTCCTGGAAATAAGACAAAGTGCAATCCGGGCTGCTCCTGCAGAACCACTGCAGTCATGACCAGAGTTGGGATGATCAAGGCACAAAGCACCACGGTGCTCATCAAGAAATCCCAAGCTCGACCGGATGTCACATTGACCTCTGGTGCTGGGATGCCTCGTCGGACTGCCTAGGTGGCGTGGGATTCGTAGGTCTGTGCTGCTGGGACAACTTCACTGACCATACCGCTTTTTCTTTGATTGATTGACTGATTGACTGACTGACTGACCGACTGACTGACTGACCGACCGACTGGCTGGCTGGCTGACTGCCTGCCTGCCTGATTGATTGATTGATTCATGATGATGGATACTGCTAGTTGGTGACTCCTACTCAATTGAAGATTAAGATGAGATGATGCTTTGGCTGCGGGGCTGTGCTCTCACTGCTGCTAGTCATCTCGACATCGGCAACTCGGGAAGATGGTCCTGCGGGTCACAAACCCAATGCACAAGGTCAAAGGTGTAAGTGCAGGACATAGGCTGATTGAAAGGTTGTCATGACATGGCTCACAACTGCTTCTTAACATCCCCAAGCTTCTGAAGCAAAGGATCCTTGTCGGTGCACTGCACTCAACATTGTTTTTTACTTGATGTGATTTTCTTTGTTTAGGTGGAGATCCAAACTATATTTGGATGACAAGCATGATGATATGTTTCTGCAAGGTTTGAACATTATGATCTCACATGGTGGGCCTGGCAGCAGTCGCTCCCTGAAGCTGGCAAAGGAGCCCCACAGGCAAAACCATCGCATGGTGACTGGGCGACAAATCACTTTGGATCAGTGTGGCTTTAGGGGTTTAGGGGTTTAGGATCCTCAAGGAGCGTTCGCAAGGTGCATTCGCAAGGAGCTTCGCAGTTGGCCTTCTAGGCGTGGGTGTTTGGGAAATCAACTCGATTAGGCGATGAGGACGGTGCACACGGAGGGCTGTAATCAATATGCTGTAATCATGTGGATCTTTCTCGAGCTGAAAAAGACATCAAGACAAGGTCCACAAAGCAATTTGAGGCATGCTAAAATACCCTGACTTCCAACGGACCCCATGCTGCTTGTCTTTTTCTCTGCACAAAAAGCCATGAGGGTCATGGTATCAGTTGCCTTGATTTTGAAATGTGCAAGCGCATCAATCACCGCCTCATTCTGAAGTTGCTGAGATGTCTTTGCCCCAGGCATGTCAGAGCAATGTAATGTGATCTTGCAACCTGCACCCATCAGCAAGCTTGCGATGGCGGAGGGGTTGTAGTCAGCTGGATGTTCCCGGTAGATCCACATGGCAATGGCCAACACTCCGATCTTTGGCAGCAAGGATTGTGCAGAGCGGATCACATCCAATTCAAAGCCGTTCACATGGATTCGTAGAAGATCGACCCAAAGTGTTTCAGAAGTAGAGGTCCAAGCTCTCAGAATCTCCAGCAATTGTGCAGTCTGGCATGAGCTAGGATCTGACTCACTTGAATTTTCAGGATGTCCATCTACCCACTCATGTGCATAATACCTTCGCAACAAGCGCGGACAGTGTGCGCCCGTGGAGACGAAGGTCTCTACCACCATGAGACGCTCGGTGAGGCTATTCTCTTTCGCGGTGCGTCTCATCGCATCCACTGCTGGTTGGTAAGCCTCCACTGCCAATGCGATGGAGGAGGGGATGGAGGTGAGGACCTCAAAGCTACAACCGCCCAGGGAGGCTCCGACCTCCACGAATCGGAAGCTCCGAAGCGAGAGGTCCCTCTGGGAGGCAATGAAGTCACGAAGAACCTTCCCGCCACAATGAAACTCTTTGTGCATCCTGATATTATCGGACTCCCAATGAGGTGCAGGCATCACATGCATCCAGAAAACTGGCCTGCCCGGGCCGCTCGAACCGTTCGTCTGCACTGCGACCACCGTGCGGCAATCCAGCCGGTCCAGAAGCCGGAAAAACGTCGCCGACTGTTTGAAGGCAAAGAGGGGCAAAAGGCCTTCCTGACGCAAGAGGTGCAAACACCAAGAAACACAAGTTTTTGCATGGCCGGGGTTTTGCTTGAAGTCACAATTGGGGGGGGCATTACAATGTTGAGGCAAAAATACGGGCACCAAGCGATTAAACATCAACACTAAGCTGTAAAAGGGTTAAACAACAACAACAACAACAACAACAACAACAACAACAACAACAAACTAATTATCAACATCACAACCCACTGCCATCCACAATCCTTCATCCAACTCATTTGCCGCTGCGCCGAGTTCAGGAGATCTTTAATCTCCTCACCCAAAGGACCATCCCAGCTGGACCCTGCTTGAAAACGAAGCCTTTCCACCTGCAAGAGTTCCGTCAGCGGTAGAGCTAGATCCTGCAGAGTCTCCGATCTCCTGGAAAATGCAATGTCTAAAGGCACATCTTGATAAACGCGTGACTCCAAAGTCTGCCAGAACAGGACATCTTTGGAGGGTGGTGCGTTGACGTGAACACTAGTGTAGTTCGCAAATACCAGAGGTAGGACACTGCGTACTGAATTCACCAGATTTGCAGCTTGAAAAAAGGCTGCTGCGCTTTGTCTGGCTGGATTGAACTGTTTGAAGAGATTCTTCGCAACGAGCAGCTTTTGAAGGATATTCTCTCCTATGGACAACCACCGCTTGGCGCGTCCCACCTGGAATTGCCATTTTCTGTTGTCACTTCGATCACTGGAGATGTTGAAACGGCGACGGGCCTTCTGTTCCCGAAGCTCTCGAAGCACTAGAGCTGCTTCTCCCAACAACAAACTCTCGTGAACATCTCTGCAGTCTTTCCATCTATCAGCCTTGTCAAGAGCACCCCACAGGCGCCAGTTCAAACGGGTACGCTGCCATTCACATGTGTACCAGAAAGCCATGCAGCAGGCGTGTGCCACTACCCATGGACCAATACTGGGAAGGTTTGAGCAAAAACAGCGGCTTGCACTCTTCAAGTCCACATGCTGCTGATGAGTTGAGCCGAGTTGACTCCGAATGCGCAAACGTCTCCAATGGGCTACCAGTCAAACACTGCAAGCTCGGTACTCGTGCATGCAACATGGAGGAGCTGAGCCATTGTCTTGCCAAACATATTCCAAGGATCAAATCCTCCGCAAGAAAAACACATGCCGTGACCCTTCTCTTCCACATGTCGCGCACCTTCTTTTCCAAGCTAGATCTCGTCATCATCGATGCCAAACTTGGGCCGGCCGAACACCGGCGCCGGTGTCGCCACCGCCATGCCCACACCTCCCATGGTGCCCATGCCCAGGGCCATGGGCGGCATTGGCGCAGGAAATCCGGCACCCTGGAGCGGCGTCCCCAGAGGTGGAACTGTGCGTGGTGGAACTGATCCAAGTGGTGGAACTGCGGTCAGTGGCGATGTTGACATTGGCAGTGTCCCTGTTGGAAAGGTGGAGCTAGGAAGTGGCAACGTGGGTAGGGTGGGTAGTGGCAAGGAAGTCGCATTGAGATCTTGAATCTGCGTGGTTGGACAGAGATGTCCTGCATCCGAAGCCTGCACCGCTTCCGCGGCGGCGTTGGGGAATTCCTGTGGACCGAACTGGAGGAAGAAGTCCAGTGCCCGGAGCACCTCTGGCACGGGCTGTGGTGCAGAGAGTACCTGTGCCGCCAGATCCGTGCCAGTCAGCTGAAAGACCACCTCAACACAGGCAAAGGTTGTGAGAGAACGAGGTAATGGGAAAAGTGGCATGACAATGCCATGCTTTACCAAACCTGAATAAACCCCGTTCCTCTGAGACGCTTACGGATTACAACCAAACACATTTAGGGATCGACTGGATCATCGTTCGAACAACGCGATGTGTCTGGTCGAACGAGTGAAACGGCTCGAAACGACGAACCCGAAAACACGACCCGCCTCCACGCGGCCGAAGCGGTAGCGACCCTCGGTGCGCAGCAAGGGTGGGAAGCCCGGCAAGCGCTTCAAGACCTCCAGCAGCGTCGATTCGGTGAGGTCCTTTGGCCCCAAGCAAGGCGGCGACGTGAGGGGTGGCAGTCGGACGATGTCATTGTAGATGTGGAAGTCCTCAAAAAGAGTTTGGGCTGTTGAAAAGAATGATCGATTGAAAATCCAGTGGAACTCCTCTGGTTCTTTTGCTCTGCAGATTGTGCTTTATATAATGACTTCAACCTGTCGTGATTTTCAAGTGACTGGCGCAATACTGTGCGAGACGAACTTGGCAAGAAACAAAGTCAAAAAACACCACCAAGCGGAATTAAAATTGGCAATAAAAGCATGCGTTGGGGAAAACTGGAGAAGCACTGCACAAGGGACAAGCAAGGACAAGCAGAAACTCCACAAAGGAAAGACATGCAGCATTTTGCGGGAGCAAGCACGCTACTAGTGGCTCCTGGCCTTACTACTAGGAACAAGAACACTACTAGGAGCAAAGGGCATCGCTACTAGGAGCAAGGACGCTACCTAGTTGCGTGCAGAAGACCGAGCTCTCGGGAGAAAGTCAGTAGTTTGTGCTATCAACCGTATCAGCAAGGAAGCGGTTGACAGAATGAACGAGATAAAAGCAGAGTTGAAGGCTATCTTGCTTTGGCATTTGATGTTCTTTGGCTTCACAGGGTAGAACTTTGGGCTGCTCCAAAGCCCAAGAAAGCCTCGCTGGTCTCTTTCCCTGAGGTTCATGGCCCTCTCTTGGCGGAGTTTGTTAGTCAAGAAGCATTCATTGACGGGGCCCTATCTCCATTTGCATAGGTATCTGCAGGATGCACAAACTGCAGGATTGTCTATAATGCCATACCAGGAACGTCCCGATCAAAAAATCCACGAAGGTTTGGCTGGCACTCAAAAGATATTATCAGTTTGTGGGATCAGTGTACGGTATACTTGCACGGGCAGGGACAGTTGTAGACGCGTAAAAGCCTCATAACTGACACGGTGATGCATATCCAAAAGCTGACAAGGATCCTCCCCGCCGCTGGAGCCAACCAGTTCCAGGAATTTGGTCAAGGATGAAATGCTGAGCACATGCCGAGGAATGGAGTCTTCCAAAAGGCCAATCAAATCCTCGGCACTGTTCCAAGACCCCTCCCTAGTTGGCTGAGCAGCTCGCACCTGCTCTCTTAGCTTCCAACACCTTCCACTCGTGGGTCGGATAAGAACATCCATCGACCAGGCCTGAGATGATGAAGGCATTGTGCAAATGCTTCGCTATGTAAATAATGCATAAAGTACTATAAAGCATCACGTGCATCACTTTCATATGAAAATTGCAGCTAATCTGCATGTTGTTTTTCTTTGTCAACAAATATCCTACACCCCACAGGCTCCCACCGAAAGATCTGACGGAGTCGTGAGAGTACTTCAGAGAAGTTGGATCCCAAGACAGCAGTCCCTCGCTGCAAAAACTCCTCACATCTACAACCATCAAAAGCAAAAATTTGAGTTTATCTATCCCATTCCCCTACAGCTTGGCAAAATCAGTTTTGCCATTTCGACCAGTCCTCATTTAGCTGCTTTGTTCTGCTTTGCAACCAATCCTCCATCAACTCCCCATAGCCTTCCACCTCGGTCATTCAAAGACCCGGATGTTGCACTGTTGGCTTGTCGCAGAATCTGCTAAATCTCTTGAACCCTCCGGGTTTCTTTGGGCGAGAAACATAGAAAAAGCATCGGCGCATTTTGCCAGACAGCTCACTGAGACCAGGCCTCGTGGCAAGAAACATCGTGAGAAAAGAAAGAACCTCTGAGACCTCTGAGACCATCAAAACAATCCGCACAGAACTGAAACACGGCATCTTTACTGCAAGCAGCTTTGTTTGGGATTTGGGGTTGCCGTATTTTAGTTCTTCATGCACTGACCCATGCGCTGAGCTCCATGCCAGTCCCGCCGCTCTACTGTCTTGAGGCAAACGGCCATCTGGAGCAGAAAAGCCTTTGAGGCAATATCAGCTGTCAGAGTTTGGGTGACTGATCAATGTCCATAACAAGGGTGTCTCTATGTTGTGTATGCCCAGCACACGGCACAGAAGCGCAAATCACATCGGCAAGTCTCAACGCAAAAATTCGTAGAGCAACGCACATGCCCATGTCGTGCCCCCAAAGGTATTCCGTGCAGCGCCGGATCTGCAGTAATTTGACCCCCGCCTCCTTTGCGCGCTTTGCGCCAGCACCAATTTGCTTGAAGTTGGCTTGAAATGATGCGGACAAAACAGCCTGCAAGCACGACTGCAGCCAACATTGAAAGAGAGACGTTGACTCTTTCCAAACACAGGGAGGCACCTGAAAAAGGTCGCGGGCCTGTGTGAGCAAGCTTGCCTCACAAATGAAGACATGAGACGGATCAATCTCTCACATCAATCCAAATAGAATTTTGATATATATATATATATTTGTATGTATAGAGAGAGAGAGAGATGACCTAAAATAGTAATATCTATTTATATATATATAGAGAGAGAGAGAGATGACCCAAAAGAAGAAATCCTTCCACAATCCTGGAGCTGTGATCTTACTTGGTCTGCAAGCAAGACAAGGGGCCCTGGCATTGGGTGTGAATTCTTGAGTATCCCAAAAGAATAGTTGGTGAATAGGGCACAAGATTGTGAGGAGCTCAAGCCGTCCCTTTTCTCGCGATGCTGAATCCTCTGCTAATGAAGTGAGGTGTCCAAGGAAAGCAAAGACGAAGGCTTCGAAGGTGATGCAGGCATCATCGGTCGCCTTCACTTGAAGTTAATCTCGTAGCAAATCCTAGAGTAGGGCTGGTATGCACTCGCTCAATATTTATATAGTCACATGAGTCACATTACAATAGAGGACCTGACTATCTCCAAATGCAGCCAAGAGATGCCAAGAGTTTTTGATGAATGCAAATTCCTGCATCACCTTAGAACTGCCTAGCTACTCCTCACTTGTGTCACGCTTTCAAGGTTTCTCTGCTTCGCTCTTACTCCGGGATCTGCTTCCCTCTTTTTTGTCCTTCTTTTGACTTTCAGAGCGATCCTTCTTCCCATTCACCTTCTTTGACTTTTCCTCCTCACACTTGCTCTTGCTGCGCGACTTCGAAGCATTGCTTCGCTTCGGCTTCTCTCTGTCGCGGCTCTTGCTGAGAGATTTCTTCTTTCGGTCATTCTTCTCTCTACTTCTCGATCTGCGCTTCGTCGAGTTGCTCTTCCTCTTCCTGCGATCACGGTCCCTGCTCCTTTTCTTATCCCGGCTGCGACTGGTGCCCTTCTTCTTGCCACTGGCCGACTTTGCACGCTCCCGGCTCCTCCGAACAGAAAGCTCAAGTCACCAAGGCGAGGCTTCCAGGGAGCTGACTTAAAAGAGGAAAATGGTCAATTCCCCCGTAGAAATTTGATACAAAATCTAAAAACTTAACTCTCAAGCCCCCAAACCTGTTCAGTATATTTCCTTCGGTTAGCAGCTCCTAGCTATTTCAGAAAACCTTTGTATAGATAGCTCCTGGAGCCGCTTCCAGGCCGTTTCACGCTGGGCGAGGCCCGAGTGCGCTTCACACTGGGCGAGGCACGCGAGGCCCTTCGGACCTGGTGCTGGACGAATGTGAAAACAAAAATCTTCATGTGGTTTTGGTGGTTTCTGCAGTTCTTGCAAAAAATTGATCTTGTCATGGCTAGTTTTTTTGCTTGGCCAGCTCCGTCTTCAAGCCTAAGCAATGGACATCAAGCAACTGGCTTGGGCCCCGAGCACTGGGAGACTTGCGCTTGCGCCTGCGGTGTTTTTGCAATTGCCGACTTGCTCCACTTCTCCAATTGTAGTCATGAGAAAGTGTGTTGCAAGAAATCAAGATTCATGACGATATTTGGAGAGCGGGAAAAGACTACCCGGACTACCCGTCCAAAACAGACGGAGACTCGTCCGACGAGTCCAACCATGAGAGTGGCACCTGCTGCGAGATCTTCCGCTGCGGCTACGGCTCGCAGATAAGTGGGGTGGATCCACCATCTCCTTAAGACCCATGCGAAAACAAATGGGCACCACTCCGAAATGGCTTGCCAAAGACAAGTGAAGAAAACTCGGCCGACAAAGGCTGGTGGCAGAGGAATACCGGACAAGTGTATGTTTGTTATATAGATTCAAAAACCGCCGCCGAATGGGCAAAAGAAAAATAGCTTGATTCTCCCCTAATGTGGTGGTGATTTATTGAGCCAAGGTTAAATGAGTCGGTGTTGGCTTGGTCGAGGCACAAACCAATGCATTGGCTTCTTCGCTTCTAGAGCCAGACTTTGTGCAACAAATGATCCAGCGTGATCCAAATCTGACCCATCAGAGCTTCAAGCTATCCCTACAAAGCCCCAACCCCCCAAATCTCGGTTGTTTCTCTACCTAGTGTGTCTTGAAAAACGAAAACCTGGGGCCCATGCCCAGTTTGATGCAAAAGGTCTTCCCCGGTTTTCCTGCAAAAAGCCGCTGCGCTTTGTCGCTGGAAGGCGACCATGTAGAAATTAAACACTGCAAAGCACACAAGTAGTTTTGAAACGTCTGAAAGGTTTTCCGTATATCATCTGCATCATTGAACTCTTCTTTCAAAACAACAGGCGCCCATCCAAGACATCTCTTTGTAGGCTCGCTCCTCAAAGTCCACGTCAAATTTCACCCTGACTCCAGGTTGCAAGCCGTAACGGCGAACATACTTCTTGAAGCGTTCGCCTTTTGCATTGGCCACATGTAGCTGGATGTCATCATTATGACGTCCCTCACGCTTCACAAAGCCATACTCCGCGGTCTTCCAAGCGACCACTGTACCTAAGAACGCTTTTTGGCGCGGTTGAAGGGGGGACTGGCTCTTGGGTCAGTTGCTCTGCCAGAAAGGGAGTGTCACAGCTGGTCTTTCGTGTGGCTCTCATGGGTTGAAAATCGATTTCTAACTATTCTACCTGATGTGGAAAAATACCTTTGTCAGTCATCTTGTATTGAAGAAGGATAGCTTCAACCCAAAGAAAGTCCTTAGTCTGTATCTGTTCCCTTGCTGACCAAGATCTGACATCAACATTGCCGGGGTGCCCCGTTCGCGGGGTTTGCCACGCCCTGGGGGCATGATGGCGCCAGCACATCAGCTTGAGCCGGTTGGGCGACGGAACCAAGAAACCAGCTAGTAGTAATCAAAGGAAGGTTAGTTGGACAAGTCTCCATTTTGAAGCTGTCGTAAAAGAAAATTGAAAAACGTTGCAAGTTTGCATGCAATGTGCAGTGTCTGTGCCGTGCCTCTTTGGCTTGGTTCTTCCAGGCGGAAGCCACCCTTTCCTCATCCAGCCATACAGACACCTCCTGGCCACAAGGACTGGTGTGCTCAGTTCGCACAATTGGGTTAGGATCTTGAAAACCAGCAACCTGCTGAAGAGCGGCACTTGGAATTCATCAAATCCTTCAACCAACTAGTCCAACCACTCCAACAAGACCACCGAGCTCCCTGGAGCCACTGAGATTTCGCGGGCTCCTGTGTCATGGAGTCCACCAGCTTCACCACCTCAGCCTTGAGCTCCGTGAAGGACTCCACCAGTTCCTTCTGTGAGGCCTCCGACAGCCTCCGCAAATTGGGGGATTTGGTGCATGGGTGAATTCGTGGATAGGATGAGGGTCCCAAAGTCCAAATACCCTTGCTGGAATTGTTGGGAAAATTAATGAAACGGACCGTGGACACGGTTCAAAGGCAGCAGCGGGGTGGCAGGACCTCACTCTGGGACAAAGACTTCTTCTTGAGTTTTGCAGAGTTTTCAAAGCTTTTCTTCGATCTCTCTGGGTTGTCTGCTTCAGTATCTAGGCACTGCTCAAGTTCAATTCACTGCTCCAGCCTGTACAAGTTTTGTCGAACTTCTCCAAAGAAGGACGACCGCGATCGAGTATTCACCGCCTGAACATCAATCTTGATCATACAACATGTGCGCGGGCAAAATGCCTGGATACCATCGGATACTCAAAAAAATGGTGTCATGCATTCGTCCAAGCGAACTTGGCAGGTTTGCTGATCACGTTTCCAAATTTAGGAAATCTCTCCATGTGTGATGATGAAGCCTTCAAGGCTTGTGAGGTCTGCTCATCCTTCAGCTTCACCACGAACTCCTGGGCAGGATGAACCCGGAGATTGCCAAAAAAAGGTGTTCCAGCCCGGATCCGACCGTCCTCTGCACTGGGACCGGGCATTTGAGGAAGTGCCGCTAAAATCCTGCACGACTTTGCATTTCAATGAGAAGAAGAATGAGAACAAATCAAATTCCCAGACCAGCGTGCAATGGTCGAAGCAGCTGCACCCTTCGATTGGTCTGGTAAGTTCAAAGACATCTTCCTAACTTGGTTGCGCCTGCGGAGCTCAGAGAGGGCTGTAGGCTCAGCCTCAAGCGCAAGCAAAACCCTGCATGAGATCTTTGCTCATCTCCGATTTGTTCAAAAGGAATGGTATGAAGGCCAGTACCTACAGGAACCAAGAGAATCTATGCTACCGGCCCAAAAGGTGAGGATAGACAAACGCCTCTTGGGAATTATTGGGAATTGTGTCACAAAGTGTCATGGCTTGAACATTGAAAATCGTGAGGGTCAAAAGAATTGGTTATCTGGGATGAACAAGTCTGAAGATCTTCTTTCACAGGTGTTGTGATCAAAAAGAAGAAGGAACTCAGTGTCACCCCTAAATCCTTAGATTGCTTTAAGTCGGGTCTGCAGGCAGCGATCAGACTTACTCGAGGCTTTCAAAAATGAAAGGGATAAAGTTTCACGCAAGGTCCTCAGGGGATTGTAGGCAGAACCGTAAATCCAAGAGTATCTCACTTCTCTGCTTGTTCCTGAACGTAGGCTGTCAGAAAGCTTGTGGAGGTAGAGAGCTCACAAGATTGTTAGAGACGGAGACCTGCCGAATTCCATCTGGGCACCAAAAACTGGGGGGGACTTTCTGCAGTGCCCGTATTCCAGTTGTTGTTTATTTGTTGATCCAGTCTTCAACTACCCAAATCACAACGCCCTTCTCCCATGTATGCTCTGGTCTCCCAGCCTGATGAGCACCTCGGCAACAACGCATGAGGGAGGAGAGCAACAATGACTGCATCACGTTCAATGTACAATGCAGCATATGTCTCGAGTAAATAATATAGATGTATGTCGGATGTGTGTTTCCACAGCATTGCACAAATCAACCATTGGGTCTAGGGTCCCAGCCCACTTCCTCAGTGACAGATCACAAGCATCCTGGATCTACATAACATACATATGTATATAATATGGGGTAATATGTTTATGTGTATATATATACATTTATCCCTTGCTCCTGACCTGATGAAAAAAAGGTGAAAAAGTTCAGCGTTCGACTCGGTGTTCCAAGCTCCAACGAATGACGAATATGTATGTGATCCAAATCTCTCCATTCGCTGAGACAAGTGGCAATCCCAAGAAGGCTAAAAATCTAGAAACCAAATCATTAGTGCGAGCGCTATCCTGCGTCCAGTAGGTAGTAGCTTAAGTAGCTAGTAGGTGTCTTCTCCCTTAAGTAGGTGCCTACTTAATTAAGAGCGCAGAGCGGGCTTTAAAAAAGAGATGGCCTCCAAAGCCGGTTCCGCGAAGAAGGACTGGAGGTTCTTGTATTCGGAGCCTAACCACGTGCCGCGTCGCCCGTGAAGCGAGTACTTGCACGAGGGCCCCGGTCGCTGAGCGAAGGGCTAATCTCGACGGGATAAACCCGTGACAAGGAATACTGCTCCTTTTTCAAACCAAGTCTGGCTGATTCTGAAAAACACACAGTGCAACAGTGTCAACAAATCTTGCTCAAGAATTGTTTGGCTCTCGTCTTGTGCCACTGCGAGACCCCAACCAAGAATAAAAATTTGGCTGCTGTCCTGCAAGGCGAACTTGTGGATGTTCGCAGCCAAGACCTCCTCCGCAGAGGTCAAAATGCTCGGCATAAAAAACCAAACAAGGAAAATTGACGACTTTAAGAGATGTAAATCACTGATGAACATGAAAAAAGTGCGATCTACAAGTCTACAAGGCTGTGGATCCAGCTCGTCTTGCAAGAAATGGCGTGGGTCACCGGAGAGGGCAGCCAAACTATACCAAATCAATATCGTCAACTGGTGTTTAGGGTGGTTGATACCGGTGTTCATTGGTCATCGCTGACCTCGGTTCAGGCAAATCTTTTAAACAGTTTCCAGGTCTGGCCATGGATCAAGAACATGCATGTTCATCCATGTTTCATTGTTCGGACCAGTATGCAGTTCACTCGACCCTTGCTCACGGCTTGGCTCCAGAAATTGGCTCTTTGCAGCTTCCCCAAGCATCTCCAAGGCCCTTCGCAAGCCATCCGCCAGCAGCTCTCGCGTCAGCTCCTGGCAACAGCCGAAAGCCAAAGGCAGGAAGAATGAGAAGAAGAAAAAGGAGTACTGACGATCAATACTACCGGCGACCATCAGAAGAGCCGCACCCACCCCCGCCACGACGACGACGGCGACGACGACAACAACCACCCTAGCTGGTGAGCTTGTGAAAAAATGCCAAACTCCTCCCCACATCTGCCCCAAGCTTGCTCACCTGTCTAACCAGTTTTCACACATTTGGAAACCAAAGCTGGAGGATCGAGCAAGGTGCAGTTGGAGCATTCCATCCCCAAAATCCTTCAATGAATGTGCTCCTTGGAAGGCGTTCCTTCCGCTTCCGCAAGCGCTTTGGCAAGTGAATCCGTAAAGTCATTGATGGATTTCACCTGGCCACAGTTGGAGCGCTGAACCGTTGTCAATCAGGTCGGTCTCTGTGGGGGAAAAGGCCTGAAAAGACACAATGTGATAGAAATGACTCTGAGTTCACTCATTTGAGCAAGGAAAAGGCAACCGAGATGTCCCACCAACAAATCTTGGAGGAAGTAAACGCACCGAATCAACTGCTGCAACACCCAAACGTGGGGGTGGACTCCGACAATTTGATGCTTTGGTCAAGCTTTGGAAAAATGTACAACAGGCTTCCCTTGATGGCTAGAAGAAGGGATTGCCTCCCCAGCACTAGGATCCTTTGCCTAAGCAGTCTCGAGCGCAGGTTCCTAACTCATACCCACTGATGCAGGTTTACATGGCGGTTTGCATTCTTCGATTGCAATTTTCTAGGATCTTCATGGATCTTCACCTCTCGGGCTCACGTGTCGTCCCCACAACGTGAGACAACCTCCAGACTTTCTGTGCTGTGAGGCGAAAGTTGTGAACCGAAGTGAAGTGTAAAAGACATACCACATCCACAAAAACTCAACATTCTGCACGCGTGATGTTCCAAGAATACAGGTGATATCCAGGACCTGTGAGAGGGACTGTTCGACCAATAGGAAGGAGAAAGAGAATGAAAGAGATATCTTTTGAAGAGGTTATCACAGCTTGTATGCTTGCCCATTTTCCCACATGCCTGCAATGGATCCTGTTGAATGGCCTGGCGCTGGTCCATGCACCTGGAAGTCTTCTGAGTGATCCATTCAGGCGTCCCAACTGAGCCGGCAGGAAAGGGTCACCACACCAACACACACACACACAACTGCAGATTCTCTAAGCAAATACACTAGATACTGGTGTCTGTAACAAAGCCCTTGACACCCTTGGTGCGTTGCGCAATCGCTTCATTTGCCATGCACGTTTGCGCAGAGGTAAAGAAAACAAGTAGCACAGAGGTCACAGAGGTAATCAAGTTATGCCAAACTAGTTACTAGTAGCTTCTTGTTCCTAGTAGTAAGGCCAGGAGCTACTTGTAGCGTCCTTGCTCCTAGTAGTAATGCCCTTGTAACTGCTGAGTTCTGTCTAACTGCGGTCTTTGGGCCTTTGGCCGGACTTCGGCTGGGCGTGGCGGACGTGCCGGGCGTGAGTCTCATATGTGTAAAGCCTTTGGGCCAATCAGCCAACGGTTGGTGTGGCTGTGCGCTGTGAAGGGCTGGTATTCTGACTTTCTCGTCAGCGAGTTGAAACTCTGTTCTTTCCCAAATGTTGAAAAGTGTCTGGGAGAGGTTCTCTCTCACGAACCATCATCAGTTTTCATTGTTCGAGCCTAAAGTGGTCTTCAGAGGAATCAGGCATGGCACCTCAACAGCCAACAGCGCCAAAATGCGAAAATGTCCAACCGCCAAAGCCACTCTGTCATTGATGCGAAAGAGATGGGCCCTTTCTTCGGTAATCTCCAGCTTTGAACCTGATCATGTCCACATGAACTGTCCATATCTGTCCATAGTACCAATCATCTTGCAGCCGAAGTGGTCCATCAAACAACTTGCTGCCCTACAGTCGATCTATTTGGCGAGCTCCTCCTTGACTCATCGTCAAAGGGCCCCCCATTACCACATCGTCCGAGCGTTCCGCAAATGAAATGCTGGGCCAACCAATCCTCGCATCTGTGTATTGGCACATCTTCACCTCAGCCATGGGTGAAATTGAACTTGGTCTACGTCACAACGGATGACTGGGGATCGTTGACCCTACATATAGGCATTCCATTCTGGATTGAAATCATGAAAACATCTCCAGCAAGATTGCAATCTGGCAAAGCCTTCAAACATGACAAGACCAGACCATGATTTTGCCTCACAGTAGGCAAGCAATCTCTGACCAAACAGGGCAGTACCCGCTGGTCTGGAAGAGCCTCAGGGCTGGACAAATACTCCAGGTCAGAACCGTCATCAAACTGCGGCGTAGTGATCCTCCCCCAGGTTGGCCATACAATCTGTCCTGCAAATAATTTAAGATTGGTGAGGTATCTGCAGTGATCAACTTCTTGAAGAGTCTTGGTCCAGCTACTTTGAATTATCCAGCTTTACAGTACAAACGTGCACACACTTCCGTCCATCAATTTCCTTAGAATTCTTGAAGATCAAGAGTTTACAACAAATTTGTTCGCAGGGTCAGCAACTCAAGTGTTGGAGTAGCTTCATGAAGTCGCTTGCCCCGTGCAGACTGTCAATGTACTTTTTCCTCCCATCTGGACTGGACACTCTCTTCCTTTGCATGCTTCAAGATTGCCCTGAAATGTGCAAAATACCACCTAAACTACTATGCGAAAATCAGCCAAACATCATCCAGACATTTTTGTCGAAACTTCCACCAACAAAACACTAAATCTAGTGTGTTCAAGAGTTCATTCAAAGCATTAGAAGTGGCCTTGGCGGTCAAATGCTCCATCTATGAGACGTTCGAGCTCAAGCTCTATGTCTTCCACATCTTCTTCAGGAGACTTTGGACGGGGTGACATGTCCATTTCGTCCATCATGCGCTCCAGTTCCATTTCCAAGGTCACTTCCATCCTCGGCACATCACTTGCAGCTTTCTCCGCTGTCGGGGGTGATTTCTTGCTTGCACAGCTTTTTGAAGCCTGCATCTACGGCCTGTAGGCTTGTAGCCTGCGGGGAGCCTGCAGCCTTTGCCGTGCGTGCCACACTTCCAGCATTCCTCTGCTTTTTTGCAGGTCTTGTGCTTTCAAAGCTTGTCTGCGTCCGTGCCAGCCGCACGTTGGGCGCATTGGCCTTGGCTTTGGCAGCAAGTCCTGAGATGAAGTCTTTAACAGTCTTGCTTCTGACCTTAATGCTTCGCAACACTTCCAAATCGGACAACACATGGTTTGCCTCAACCCGAGCCTGCTTTGCTCTCTTTTTGTCAAGCTGCTTCCTTGCGGCTTCTGCCGCATGTTTTTCACATTCTTGACACCTATCCTCTGCACATGCAAGAACACAAGAGAAGTGGCCACAAGAAAGGGTGCGGTATCCATGGTCTCCTGTCTGGCGATTCAAAACCTGCTGGCCCGGGAGCCAATCAATGATCATCACCTTTTGCGCTTGGGTCACATTGGTAGGTGCTGCTGGTTTTGCAGGCGGTTTCTTGCCGGCTATGCTTGAAACCTTGTCGGATATTGACAGAATGCTTGCAGCTGGCAAGGAAAGGTGCTCTGCCATCTCTTGCCGAACCTTTGAGATTCGATCATTGTCAAAAACATTAACTTGCTTGATAAAGTCTCCAGTGGTGGCGCTGGTGACTTTCACCAAGCCGGTCACAGCTCCAAAGTCATCAAGAAAACCATCCCAACAACTTTCACAACAGTTGTCTTGAAGACGCTCTGGTATTGGGCAATCTGACGCAGGACACGCCAGCCAAGCCCCATCTTTGACAACCATCTCACACCTGCGACATGATTGGCCATCCTCACAATACTCGCATTTGGTTTTTTGGCGAACATCCTCGACGCAGGACTCACAAATGTGATCGTAGCACCCACATTCTGTTGCTTCTGAGTAGGCCCAAATGACACACTCACACAAGTCGCAACGATTAATGCCCATAGCTTCAGAGCTCCGACATGACAGACTAACCCCACTGGAGCAAAAGCAGCTGAGGACCACCACACAGAGCAACCACCTTACGGCTTCCGAGGACTTCATAAAATGACCATAATCAAATGAATGAACAGCTTATATATTTCAGGCAAAACCTGCTCCACCTCATGAAAGCCATGCACGAGTCATGTCAAAGGTCCAGAAAGTCCATAAGCTATGTTTGAAGAAGTCATCTCAACTCTTCCTCACAGTCTCATCCCGCTCCTGATCCCTCGCCAAGGACTTGTAACTTCCACAACACGGGTCAGTCAAGCCATTGGAGGATTTCACCTGGCAACGGCCACGGCCACGGCGATTCCAACTACGTTTGAGTCCCATATTTCAGGCTTAGGTTCCTAGCTAAGGCTGATACCCAAAGTTGCACATTTGGTTTGGTTTCATGCGTGTCCGGCAAAAGCAGATGGAGCATAAACCAGCTGTTGCGCAAAGACCAGTCCCGGGCCTTTGGGACTTCGGCTGGGCGTGAGTCTCATGGGCCTAAAGGGCCAACCAGCTAACGGTTCAGAAGAAAGGTAAGAATGGTAAGATGCTCCCCCCTCCCTACTGTATTTAAGTAGGTGCCTACTTGTTTAAGTAAGGGATAGGGATAGGTAGCTAGTAGGTACAGGACGCTCCTAATTAGGACGCAGGATAGCTCACGCTGTTAATTTGGTTGCTAGATTTTTAGGGAAACTTAACTGCGGTAGAAAAAAAGGTAATTGCGGATCGCATGATATGTTCTCCAATGGCGCACAACAACGAACCCCCCAAACCAAGGAAGGAAGGATCCATCAAGCATCCTTTGGCAGCTGCAAGTGGTCCATCAAACTACTTGCTGCCCTAGGCCTACTTTGCAAGCATGTCACAGGTTGAATCACCGGGAGGATCCCTGACACTGCAGATTGGGTGTTCGCTCAACTCGACTTAATCCACACAAGCCAGCGGTCACGAGCTTGCGAGTCCATGCCCTTTGATTGAGATAAAGAAAGGCACTGAAGAAAAATAGGGAGAGGCAACTGAATGAAAAGGCACAACCTGAAAAGAATGTAAGAAAGCAACCGACACAAAAGCAACAAGCAAACCAGGGGCAGAAGCACAATGAAGAAAACAAATGAAGCCAAGAGAGACAAAAAAAGTTTCACATAAAGCCAAGAGATACGTAAAAAAAATTATAACAAAGAAAACTAAACAGAAAAAAGAGTATTCGTGACAGCAAACATAGATTGAGAAAACTGAGTAAGCCAAAGGTTTCTTGCAGTAGTTTGTCTTGATGGAGAATTCCTGTCAATCCCAATGAAAGTGCCAAAGCACGCTCCAATCTTCGTGATCAGATTCGAAGCAGCGCTACCTCCGAATGGTGGAGGGAATTGCTATCAGTCTCGCTCCTTCTTGTTGCTACTAGTAAGGCACCTGTTACTACAAGCGTGGCACCTGTTACTACTAGCTTTTTGTTACTACGAAGACAAAAGTGACAAAAGCCATTGTCCTTCAAAGCACAATTCCGTAGCGCTCGATTCTTGATGTGCCTCGGAGCTTGATTCGATGCTCGAGCTTCCGGCCTGTGAGAGGATGTTGATCAAGTAGAGTCCCAGCTGCCACCGGTTTTGCCGGTAGCAAAGGTTCACATCAGATGCACAGCCAAAGACATTGGGTTTGGCCTTGGTCTCAAAGTCTCTTGGCTTACTGCACTTGCACATCAGTTGCTCCGAGTATGACTCAATCATTCTACTTCCTTTTGGCATTGCTTCCATTTGTGTGCAGCCTTTTTAGCATTTGATTATATATATATATATGTGAAAAGAACAGCAAGAGCCTCTTGAAACGTCAGGCCAGGTGCTCGGGTCTCCGGAATAACTTTCAAGATTTCCAAAGCCAATTCCCATTCCCCAGCCGTCTCGCAGGCCCAAACAGTGGAATAGCCAGTATAAAGGTCGACAGCATAGCGACTCCGCAGCATGCTCCAAAGCAAAGACAAAGCCAGCTGCCACTGCCCACCACGGCCACAAACGATGATTGCACTGTTGCAACCTTCACCGGAAACCCAGCTTTTGGACGCTCATAGGAAGAACAACAAACACAAACCGGATGGTCTTTAATCGCCCAACCCCTGCAAAGAGCATTCCAGCCAACCGCAAAACACCAAAACAAAACAAACAACAAATCAAAAAATAATATATATATATATAATCATCCTCAAAATAGCCAAGGGGCGAAACAAATCTGCAAAAAAGCAGCGGATACATTTATTCCGAGAGCATGGCACCCCGCCGGTCCCAACTAGGGTGCCCCGTGTGACCAGGGCATTTGATGGCCTTCATGGATCTTTGAGACTACTAGATGATCAAACCCGGGAATCAGGGGTGTTTATCCCATTTTCTCAGGATATGAGGATCTTTCAAGCCACACAACTATACACTAAGAAACATAGAAGGTGGAACCACTATGTTGGTTCCCAGAGGTCACCACAATGCATTTTTTCGCCTTTTAGCGACCAAGCTTGGTGAGGGTGGTCAAGGAAGTGTTGAGAGGTTCATTCAAGCGACTGATATCATTTGGTGGCACCTCATCATCCCCCATGAGATCCAGGACCTGCAGGGCCATCGGCCACACATCCACGGCGGGCCATAGCTCTGAGGATTCGTCTTCTTCATTTCCTCCTTCCTCTTCGTAACCACTGGGTTCACTTGATCCACTTGGTGTGCGTCCTTCCGGCTCTCCAATGGCACTGATGACGGAGCTAAAGGCCACCACATTGGCTTTCACACCTTGAGTAGGCACGTTTCGATTCTGAGTAGGTGAAAGCCATGAAATTCACACAGCAGCTTGGTGTCATCAACAATAACGAACTTCCACTTCCCTCGCCTCGTTGGGGCATCAATTTCAACAGCTCCACTGCCCATGGCCACTCCACCCCACCGATCGCTGAGGTGAGGGTGACCACATCACAAACTACCTGAGGATCTTCCTCCAACCTGGGCACCGCGGTAGGGGCTCCTGGCATCGCTACTAGGAGCAAGGACGCTACTAGGGGCTCCTGGCCTTACTACTAGCAACAAGAAGCTACTAGTAACAAGAAATAAATAGAAATATATGCAGTAGAAGTAAACTTATAAACAATTTATATAATTAGAATTGGAACAAGAAGCTGCCCTGGCAGCAAAGCCCGACATGAACTCAACATCCAGCGTCCCGGAGACCTACTCTCGGATTCAATGGTCTTGGCATGGAGGAATGAGGAGAATCCAGGTGACCAAAAAAAGATATTTTTGAGCTTCTGTCCCCCCTCTCTGACTCAGATTGACATTGAGTCGTTGCCGTGGAGCATTCCAAGGGTGCTCATAGACTGCTCCCAAAGTGTGCACCTCTCACATGCACTCATCATGCTATTGTACCTTGGGACTCAGAAAGAGCTGAGCACAAACTGAACAAACAAGTGAGTTGGACACTAATTCAAGGGACCTGTACTTCACCAAAGACGTAGTGGCGATGCGCTTATGTACTCCTGCTTGCCGCAACCAAGTATCGCAAAAATGTCCAGCTTCAAAGATAGAGCGCTGATGTATCTTCAGGGAGAAAATCCGTTTGTATGTGTTTGTATCTACAAAATGCTGAAGAATATAGAAATAGATGCAAAATTGTGTGCAAACTGTGTCCCTTTCATTCTTGCCTCTTGCACAGCATTCTGTGTGCATCTCTCCAGCGGAAACCCTGGCAGTATCATGGATTCTGCAGTTCTTCCTCCAAAGTTCAATTACAAGACTGCACATGGAGCAGTCCAAGGGATTTCTAGAGCATGTTGACAGTATTTGAGAACTTTCTTTCTTGCGACAACATCCAATTCTTTCTAGCACATCTTAAAGTCAAGGAGTCAAAATCCCTCCCATGCATGTGCTCCAAAGAAACCGTTCCAAGGGTGGTCAAGACCATGCCCCGCTGGCTCTTGACCCACCTTCGCACTTTCTTCAGAGTCATTCAGTCCTGCCTTCTCACAAGCACTCATGACTGAGTTCAGGGTGATGCGGCTCACGCGCTGATGCGTTTGCCGCATCGCATCCAACAAAGCTGTGGCCAAATGCCACTGACAGCCTGCACGGAACCAGGAACCCTCACGAAAACAAACGATAGAGCAAGAAAACATGATAGTGTAAACAGACACCTGAAACACGCGAATTTCACAATGCCTGAAAAGATAAAGAAGGAGAGAGGCAAGTAGGCAAGCTGTGAGATGAAATTGAAAACCAGTATATAAATAGGTCAAATTGACGCAGGACCCACGGACTCAAGAGGAGCAATTGCAAAGAAAGAGGCAAAGCGGTGACTCCCAGAAGCTGGGGTTGTCTTCTTCATAAATAGAATGAACCAAGAAAGTCCCTTAGTTTCTCAGGCTGTTTTTCTCACCTGTTTCTCTCCGTTTTCGCCGTCGTAGTCTCTGTGCAAGGTGGCCTTTCTCCATCGAGCTGACGATCGCATTACAGAAGACCACGTCTGCTCTAAGGCCTTGTCAGGTTGTTTGAGCTGCATGATACTGTCGACCATGTTGACTGTTGACTGTTGATGATTCATACAAAAGCCCCCTCCGGCTGCAGATGGTCCGGTTATTGATCAACAGTCCATATCAGGAAAGGTCACTTGAAATTTGAAGCTGATCAACTCAACAAAGACTGTCAAAAACCAAGATTGCCACCGCTCAGTCGCAAGGCCGTAGCGGCTTGGCTGGCTAACCTCACTTGTCGCGTGGCTCGAAAATGGAGTCCAGGGCGTCTTACAGGGTCAACCTGAGTCTACTACTCCCAATGTCCTCTGGATTCCAAAGAACTTGCCAACGCACTGTACCTCAGAACAATTCACTAGAACCCTCAACCACCATAGCCCTTGCCACGGAGTTGGATGGGGCACGTGACGTGGTCGGGCCTGTGATGTGCCTGAGAACAAATGTGATGTGTTTGTTTGTTAGGTTCCTCCCAGACAGCTAGATTTTGTTGGATGCATCGACCATCCTGACGACATGGTCAATTCAAGGCCTGTTTTGTAGATTGCAAGAGCGCAGTTGCAACCACCTTGCACACAAGCCAAAGCCAGCAAGTTCAGGATCAGCCAGATTCTTCATAATCTCCCACAACAAATGCTTAGCCCAAAACCCAGCAAAAACCCTTCTCGCAAGCACTGAGAGCTGCATTGCAACTTACAGCCTCGGAGAAAATAACTTTTCCTCCAAACCTTGCTGACTCTTCGTGGTCAGATGGGTTGCAAGTGGAAAGTTGCCCGATCCATAAAACTAAAGCCTGTTGACAACAGCAACAAAACGTCAACCCAGAAGATTGATTCTTCGCCCCTAAACAGAAAGGGATGTCAGCTTACCACCGTGGAAAGAGTGACACTGACCAACATGGTTGTTTGCAAGCCAAAAATATACATGTAGAAAGACCCATCCGATGTACATGAGGGGTTCACATACTTTGTTCACACAGAATTGTGCATTCTTCATAGCCGGACTCTTGTCTAACAGGAGCACACTTGAAAAAGAACAGGTGGTTACTCAGGCGGCGCTTCATTCCAAGCGCTTCTTCCCTCAAGAGCAAGATCGACGATCGATAGCCTAGACAAACCGCTCTCAGTATCCGAGGAGAATAGCAATCCAGCTGAGTCTCCCTGCATTGGGCTGGATCTGCCTCAATACTATGCTGCTCAGCAAAAATGTGGCTCCTATACAGCAAGATGCTGCAAGAGGAAATGCGATGTTGTGTTTTGTATTTGCTTCAAGAGTTGAGCTGCTGCATGATTACCCTTTCTCTTTTGTCACTTGGAGCATCTGCCACCATATCTCACTCTCCTTGCCAATTTCCCACCTTCTCACAAGCACTGATGACAGCCTCAAGGACACATCTTTGTTTTCTAGAAGATTGGCATTGACAACATTGAGATCCTGACACTGCAAGCAATTAAATCAGCTCGCAAACCTCACAAAACTGCCAGGCGGCTTCGGGCTGTGGCAGTTCTGGCTCTTGCCTTCATCTTCCAGATTCTTTAATTGCCACACAGACCATTGCCATTTCGATGCCTGCCAAATGCTCTCAAGACCATGAAACGCTTTTAGACGTAAGGCATGCGTCTGCCGCCTCAGCAGCGGCACTGATGCCTGCAAGCTGAAGCCGCTCGGTTAGTGCGGCCAGCTTAGGTTTTCAGAAATATTGCCACGGTCAAAGTGACTACTTCACAAGCGGTTTGGAGTCTCATCTTTTCAATGTGACAGCACATGCCCACCAAGCGGCTTGCACTGCAAATGACCTCGGAAACAACCACAAAACGGCTCGTTGTTCTGACTGGAAGTTTGGAGCAAACTGAGCTCCATGCGATATCTGTCTGAAGTGACGAGCTCTTGATTTGCCTTTGCCTTGCACATGGCACAAGAAGTCTGCCTATGACAGAAGTTTGGACCTGTTTCGCCTTTTGTCTCGCTAAAAGCAGCCCAGTTTGTGTTGCGCTGAGGGGTGCCCATGGAGAACTGAAAGCAATGAGCACAACATGTGAGGACTAGTGTGACAATCGATATCATTCACCAGTTTTCAGGGCGTCTGAATGTGGTACTCAATCCAAGACTGAGCACTGAGCAAACTTCTGATCTCATCCCAACGGCCACCACGACGGCTTGCCACGATGGCATCTGACCAAGTGCGTTTAGCAGAAAATAAGAAAAAGATAAACCCACAGCACAGGCCTGTAAAGTCTTTCAAGTTGTCCAAAGACTTTTGGGGCCACCTTCCATCTCTCTGGGTTTGGCATAACAAAATATTTGACCTTTCGTGGAACTTGCAACATTTGATTCCGCAACGTTTCCTTCGAAAGGCATATGAATTAGCTTATGTTTTTTAGTTTTGGGAAGCACAAGTATGGAGTTCACGACGTTGATTGAAACGTTGATTCTCAAAGCGTGCCTTTGTTGACGAACCAGCATGAACCATTCCAGTTCGCTGAGAAATCGATGCAGCAGGAACTTTTGTTGCATGAGTGGAAACCGTGGACACTTGCTTTGGAATAGTTTAAAAACACAAACAGAATGGGAATCAAGAGGGTCCAAACGTGCTGTCCTGTTGCGAACAAATGTCGGATTGACAACAAAAAACTAAGAACTGTTGAGGTCATCTGCTGTACGAGCACAATGGTTCAATGATGTGGCAAATCGATCTTTTTGCCAAAGGTGAGTGTGACAAGTTCACACTCTGATTGGATGTGAAACACCCGAATTGAAAAGAAACCTGAAAACGGACAAACAAAACATATATAAATTCAAAAAAAAGACGAAAGCATGTGAAGTCAACTGCACGTCAAAAATGAGTCAAAAATGCCGGATTGAACCAATATTTTTTTGTTAATGATTATTGTTCTTTGTGCGTGTGTGTGCCGCAATTGCATGGATTTGTGTTTTGCACATTTTGCTGGAAGTTCGTTGATTTTTCACAAATTACATTCCTGGTAAACCTACACTCCAGCTTGCGGATCACAGTTGTTGCCTCGCCTCTTTTGAGAATGCAACAAACACATAAACATCATCACGTTAAAGATACTTAAAACCAAAACATATAACACAACCACGCAAAAGTCCAAACATAAACAACATAGTGAAATCATGCTGAGGGTGTTTATTCATGCGCCTCTTTGGCATGTCATAGCCACATGTGGCGACCATCTCTTCCCCACGCATGTCTCCCAACATTGATGATGTTGTTAGGACTTTCAGCGCTTCTCATCAAATAAGTGTGTCTCCCACATGGGTAGTGGTTTTGGGGTCTGCGATTTTCATCAAATGCATTCGTCCCACGACATGGGACACATGTGTCTCCCAAGCTCCGGTTCATCTTTCAATTCATGTGGCCCAAATCGGTGATGATTGTGTGCACACCATATTTTCATGGCGATTATCGACTGTTATTGTGTCTCACTGACGTTTCATCTGAATGGTTAAGAATTGATACCTGAATTACTCAAACAGTTCAAAACGTTGCTAAATAGCAAATAACATGAAGTGAAGTCAAACAGTCCCAACACACTTCCTGGATTGTGCCAATGACATGAATGAAACCTTGAGGCCAGGGGGATGAATGAAAGCCAGCCACTGCGAAGCAAGAGCGACTCCAGCAAGCTGAGGCGAGCTTTCCTCGTGAGTAGGTAAGAGCCACCATAGGGCCATAGGGATAGATCTTCTCCACAGTGCTTTTTGGGATTGGCTGATGAAGAGGATGAAGATGATGAGGACGATGAGTAAGAGGCACCTTGGCTGGGAAGGGCGGCAGGGGGTGAAGGAAGGAAGCAATGGTATGGGGGGCTTTGTGTCTTCTGGGGTGGAACACCCGGCTGCAGCAGACCACCTAGGAGCAGCAGCAGGAG